TATTTAGATATACAGACCAGATCTCTGAGGAGCTCGGTGGAGCCCTCCTCGGCAACAGGCCACGCCCCCAGGAAGCCCTTACCTGTCTTTTAAGGCTTCCACACTTCCGCACAACTGCAGGGCGCATATAGCACCTGCACAACACTCCAGTTGGAAGAGGATCCGGAACCCACCACTGGCCCACGGAGGTGTGTGCACTCCCCCTGAGCTCGATTTTTGCTGGCAGAAGGGCTTGCCTGTCCCATCCTATCCACATCCACCCAGTCCCGCAAGGTCAACTACAACCCTGATGCAGCTCTCAATAAAATCAAGTTTGACACCCCTGCACTATGCAATGAACTATGTCAATGCTTACTTTCCTGTTAGATCAAATTTAGAGAATAAAGATGGGGATTACAAAATCTCTGTTTTTGAGAAATGTAATATGGCCACAAAATTAAGATCAAAACCAACCAGTTTTTAATTAATCTCTTGGCTCATTTGGTTCTAACCAATCAGAGACATAGAATGGATGTTTAGACCACAACACATATACTACAATTGTTGTCAAATACAGCACCATACTGAAGAATGCAGGTAGAAGTAAGAGGACATTTTCTAAATGGTGAATAGGTTTCAGCCTTGGTCCATGTGGGTCATATAACCATTAATTTTCCTGCCTTGGCCTCTAGTTAGATGATAATAAAGATGTATATTAAAGAAAATAAATATGTAAATAACTGATATTTCTTGATTTAAATTAATTATTGTTCTCTTTAAATAAGATTGTGTTCCTTTCTGAGGGAGTTGTTATCTTCTCAAGTGATTTACTCTTTTTTTGTGTGCTTTTCTCACAAATGGCTCGTAGCAATTAAAAATCTAAGAAGACATCTAAATCTAATATATGAGATGTACATAGTGGAAATCAAATATGATATGCTTGGCATAATCCAAATGAAACAAGTTTGTATAAACTACCTGGAATTATATCTCAATCTGTGAGGAGAAGAGAAACCATGTCACCTACGAAGACTGTTTTATTGTTTTCAATAGATTCAAGAGAACCATTCTGCTTAATTTGAGGAAGTAGACTTCTGCTCATGCCATATAGATAGTCCTCCATTTATGACTTTAATGAAGCATGCCCACTATGGTCATAAGTCATGATAGTCGATTACATGCCTAGCATCATTTTATATGATGTTTATTTAATGATTCAGTCTGGGCATGATTTTGTTGATGTAAAATGCAGTCACATTACTGTAAAGCACTGCAAATGGTCTAAATGCAGCCTAGTTTCATTTGGTCACTTGATTGGGGGGGGTGTCAAGTAAAATTTGGTTACTTGATTGGTGGGGAGAGTCATGACTATCAAAACTTAGAATCTGGGTTATAAGAAGCCACAAGAAGGTAGGTCTGTTGTAACTTTAAACAGTCATATGTCAAGGACTACCTCTCCACTGTCAAATCAATTTCTGGCTAAAAGGGGGGTTTAATATATACAAAAATCTCAATGAGGAGAGATATTGACCTGTATATATCATCTAGTGCATTACTTGCGTAAATCACTCCTGCCTTGCAATGGTAATAATAGTTGATCAGAGATAAAATAACAAGTACTTTTATAAAACATTTGAAAACGTGTTTTTTTTTCAATTTTTGCTGAAAAAAAATTAAGGGATAATTTATGTATGTGATGATTGAAAAGGGATTTAACAAAGGCATACAGGATTTTTGAGTGTTAGGCAGAAAGTGTAATGAGTTTGTTTATAACTAGTTAGAAGTGCTTTCTTTTTCTGAGTCTTGTTTCTCCAGCTCTTTTTCTTTTTTATCTGTTTTTTCACAGCATTTTTTATATTTTTTCTTTAAATTTATTTTATGTAAACATTTTCAATAAAATTTATATATAAAAATCAATAGTAATAAAAGCAATATTACTTTATTGAATTTATATAGCCATTTATCTCCTGAATGTGAACATCAACGTAATTCAAACAAAATCATTAAAAACCAGTTGAAAATAGTTTAAAAACTATAAAAACAAGAAAGACGGGGAATAGTGCCTTCTAAACTTATACAAAATGCAGCCATTAAATAATATGCAATAACAATCACTGCAATGTCAGAGCATTCTTCTTAGGATAATTGTTGAGAAATCATTCTGGTAATTGCATGCCCCTTAATAATGAGGGATGCGATGGCTCAGTGGCTAAAATGCTGAGCTTGTTGATCAGAAGGTTGACAGTTCAGCGGTTCAAATCCCTAATGCCATGTAACAGAGAGAGCTCTCGTTACTTGCCCCACTTCTGCCAACCTAGCAGTTCAAAAGCATTTAAAAACCGCAATAGAAAAATAGAAACCACCTTTGGTGGGAAGGTAACAGCCTTCTGTGCACCTCGGCGTTTAGGCATGCCAGCCACATGACCATGGAGATGTCTTTGCACAGTGCTGGCTGTTCAGCTTTGAAATGGAAATGAACACTGCCACCTAGAGTCGGGAACAAATAGCACATATGTGCGAGGGAAACTTTTACCTTCACATTTAATAATGAGTTAAACTTTATTATCTTTCACTGAAGGTCATCCCATTCTTAAATTAAATTGAAGGGAAGCCTCATGATAACATGTCACCAGAGTCACATACAGGAAGGATTAAAACAAAAACTTGCAAACTTGAAATCAAAGCCATGTCCATTTCTTTGGGCAGGACCATCATCCAACTTTCTTAATACGCCTGAGGACATTCCCAAATGCCACTTATGGTTTTTTTTAAAAAAAACAAGAAACATTCCAGAACAACAAAATCTCTTCCCCCAGTGATTTCGCACTAACAAAGTAACTCAAAACATCAGCAAAATAAATTCTAACTTTATTTAAATGAAGTAAACCACCTCAGTACATCAGCATTACTGGATTTATCTTAAACAGATACATAAATATTTATCTCACCCCCCAACCATGGTTTAAAAATGAACAGTGGAAAATTCCTAGTTTATTGAACAATAAAAGAGATATAAAGCAAGGAGAAGAAAAATAAGAGTCCATTGAGCCATACCTTCATGTTCAGATCTCATTTATTGACCATTAGTCTTCAGTTGTTCTAGAATCCAAAAAAGGAAATCTCTGTTTTAATTCCTTACCAAAATCCCTTTGGCAAAAATTAAAGAATTACAGCATAATTGCACACATAGCAAAATAGACAGTAGATCAGGCATGTAGATACAGCACCTTTCCCAAAGATTTATAGAGAATTTTTAAAGTTTAATCTGAATATCAGTGGATAAGATAAGCTTTCAAAAAGATCAAGATGGCAGCCATGACCATAAACTCACTATTTTTTAGTATGCATTAGTTACATGACATAAAAAAGTGATGGGTGCTATCATGACTTTTTTATTATTACTGCTATGGTGGCCTTCAGTGGAAGTTTATCATAACTCAAAGGAACTGGGTTAAAAAGACTTATGATACAATTTTCAGTATTAAAATTATGAACTCTTCCACCTTCTTGGTGTAGGAGATATTTTTGAGAGTATCCATCATTCTAATTTTCTCCATGATCTTCAGTTTACTTTGACCTTTTGCTTAGGCTTTGGAAGAAGTTTCTGTTTTTTTCTTAATCTGAAAAACAAAACAATGCATCCAGTTTATGCAGTTGGCTCCATTTTCCATTCTGTGATGGTTTCTATTGAAACCTGCAGTTGAGATTTATGCGACACACAACATTAAAACCACATCTCATTGGGATTATCTGGCATGCTTTTCAAGAACGTATCTCTGTTAGGGCAGTCATTGTGTAAAAGACAATATCTGACAATACAAATAGGCTGGCCATTCATATTTTGTAGCTTACTCTCCAAATAATTTTGAACAGTAGCCAGGTGCTTTATATTTAATCACTAACAACAGGTGGTATTTGTCCACTACCCCAAAATGTAAGGATAATTTTAAGTGATAGCTTAACTTTATGCACACTGATCACATACTTTGTCCAGCTGCTCAGGGCAAGATCAAATGGAAAATCTGTCAGAAGGTGTCTGAGCCTCAGATTCATAGTATCTTCAGATTCCCACCAAGAGAGAAGTCTTAATTGTTTTTAACAACATCTGAATCAAAGACGGATCTTCCTAAAAGACATCTTGCCTTGTGAAAGATTTTATTTTCAAAGCATCCACTTGAAATGAAGTGGATGGTTCCAAGGGCTGTTTTCTACACCTCACTTCAAAGATGTCTTGCTCAATTAATGTAATATCACAGTTACACAGAATTACTACATCTCCAGCTGGGATAATAAAGCAATCCACAGGACACAGCTGCCATATGATCAGTGGTCAAACAAGCACAAAATGCATATGCGTGGAAACCAATGTGCTTGTCACTAGTAAATAGATGTATGTCATGAAATCAGATGGGAATATGATGGTGCTTCCATGACTTTATTATGCAGCCACCCCGCCTCACTCACATAATTGTGCTGCTTCTTTACCTCTAGGAGTGACTCCAGGAGTAGAGTTTTGTGCAACTGTTTCTTTTTCCCCTTCTTAACTTTGTTTTTCTTCATGTGCAAAAAGAAATGGAAGAAGCAGAGGTAAAATATAGGAGACAGACAATCCTATTTGAGCTATCTGAAAAATCTGCTAATGAGGGAGAGTGATGGCAGATACAGGTGACAGCTGGGACTTGTTCTTCCCATAAATATTTCGGTAACTCAAGTAAAATATCACATTTATCGTTTTTGATAGCATGCAGAATATCTTGAACTGTATTTAACAGATGGATAAAGTATCATAATTAATTATAGAAGAAATCACAAATGGAAAGATAAAATAAAAGTATAAATAAAGTGTTAGGTGCATGTCATAGAAATGAGATAAATCTATGGGCCATAATCTTCTTTGTTGAGAAGAAATTTCTATGCAAGTTTTACCTTTTTCCACAATCTCTTCTTTTTTTAACTTTCCCTTTTCTTCTTTGTAGGTCATAGGTGTGAGGTTAACACCATCGAGAAAAGGATGGAAGGACCTAAAGATTTAAAACAAATTCGCTCAAGATTCCTTTAGGAGTATATTTTTAGACTCTGCGGAAGAAGATATGAACTCTGGGTACTATATGGATATTGTTCATTAATACTTATCTTAGTCAAAATTCCCCATTTAAGTTTCATCCTTAAAAAAAGAATATTTCTAAAAAATATGTGAAAAATGTTTTTAAAAAATATGTGAAAATGAACACTCCCTTCCGTGCATGTATGCACAACCCCCACATGTGTGCCCTGCCCCCCATGCATGCGCGGCAGAGACCCCAAAACCAGCTGGCCAGCAGGAGGTGCACAGTGCAGCTGAGCTACAGCATTGGCTCGCTTGCCTGCAGAGAGGGCTCTGTGTGCCACCTGTGGCACATTTGCCATCACGGGTCTAGGATGGTCAAAATAATTATTATAACATAGCACACAAGCCAACTAAAGTGCTCCAAAATATCGTAAGTAAATCAAAAGACCCATCAGCCCCTGAAGCAAAAACAGCAATGATGTACAACATTCAGTATAAGGACTGCAATATTTATTATATATGACAATTAGGCAGAAACTAGTAGAGTGCATCCATGCACATCAACTAGGTGCCAGAAGACATGATGAAAACTCCTTAGTTTTGTAACCCATAAACAGATTTAACCATAGTTTTAACTTAGAACCTGTCAACATGCTAGACCAAGTCAAATCCAAAAATGCAGAGAGTTCACAGAAGCCTGGCACTCAGAGAAATAAGCCTTCAACACACACATAGACATAAACAACATCTACATACCATTGAAAAGAGATAATCAAAAAGCCAAAAAGGAAACAAAAATACCAAAACTTCCTCACCACTAATCAACACTAAAATAATCAGAAATTAACACCAAGATTAACATCAGACCAACAACAAAACACAAACATCAAAGAACTGCCAAACAAGCTGACAGTAAATAATAATCCAATTAGATTATTAGATTACCCCACTCCCAACTACCACTGGTGATATTACCTAGTTTAGTGATCACATATCTACAAGAAAACAACCAACCTCATAGAGTACCAAATATCCCCATATGCTATGAAAAATCAAAACAGATATGATGATGATAGTCTCACACATTTTAAAAATTGACAACTTAATATACATGGTTACCCCTTTGATTATTTTTTATCCCCCTCATCCCCAAACCATCCTAAGACTTTACCAATCGATGCTAGTAAAGTTCAGAATAGAGGAGGTGTGGTTCTATTGCACTATATTGTATTGTTTAGTGATGAACTGACTAAAGGTTATGAAAGGGAGTCCTATTAGAAAACAGATGTCTTTCAATTAATTTTTGACAAAGTTGTTCTTCAAACCAACTCAATTTTAAGCTCTCATAAATTTATTCATGTGCTTTCTTGAAGACTATATCTGTGTGGCAAGTTCACATCCTCTCACCACAGCATAATAGTTAATAATTACATTAAAGGTGTGAGGTAAATTGAGGGGGAAGCAATTATTCGTTGCATTTACCAGGATGTGAAAAGAACTGGCAGAAACGTGCTGCTTTTAAAATGGTTCCCTATTACTGAAATTTTGTCAGTTCTGATCTCGGGCAAAATCAATAAATGAGCAGTTTCCTCATTTGATTGAAAATATTGGAAGAGATTGTCTGAACAGATCTATTAAAATCAGTGGCCTTCTTTCAGTAGCCATGATTAATTTTAGTCTTTAGTCTTATTGATTTTAAAGTATCTACTTTAGGTATATAAAGCCAAGACTGATAATCAGAGAAAGCATAATAGTACAGGTTATTTCCACTTTTTGGGATCCTTGATAATAACACTGAAAAAAGATCACAAGCCATTTAATTTTTAAAAGAACAAAAAATAGCAAATATGACCTTCGTAGTTAAGTTATGGGTTCCCCTCTCATCCAGTCCAAAGAATTTGGTTAGATAGTTTTCTAAATCAATTTTGAGAGTAAAATATTACATATTTGTACAGCTTAGCTTAATTGTAATTTTTTTTTCTTTTGTGAGCCAAAGGGTTTAATTTTTTTCTAAAATTTCATTATCATCAATAGAGTCAGTGAGGAAAATCAGTACAGATTGCTACCTGACAATTTGGGGAAAATATAATAAGACCCAAGAATTTGGGGAGGGGGTGGAATGAATGGTAATAAACTGAATCAATCAATAAAGTAAACCTAATATCCCAAATCAACTGCCACGTCTTCATGGACTTATCTTGTTGTCTTAAATTCAGAAGGTCAAATGGGTTTATTTTCCAGGTCTTTTTGGGCCACCCAATTCTTCATGGCCTGTCATCTCCCTGTTTAACATGAAGTAAGAAAGAGATCTGGGTTTCTTACCCTGTTACCAAATCCGGACTTCTTAAAACATTAAATGAAATGTTTCTTTTTTGGCTCATTATTTTGAACAGTGACGGAAACCAGCTCCCTAGGAATTTGTTGACTTTTTTCCTAAAGGAAAAGTCTTTTTTTTCCTAAAGGAAAAATGTGAAAAGGGGGGAGTATGGCAGCCCCATGCTCCTGAGCTAATGTATTGCCCATGGGATCTTTGACAGAAACTTGGCATCAATCAGTCCTATTAAAATGACAGGAGGCCTGGCAGCTCTTAGCCCTGCCTGCAAAGTGTACTAATATTTACAAACAAAAAAGAATGTTTCTGGCTTTGTTGAAATAACACCACCTTCTTCATTTGACTGTTCTTTAAAGCAGACCTTTGCAAACAGCTACCAGAAGGGGACTAGCAGGCAACAGAAAAGCAAAGATCTTTCATCAAATGCTAAAGTTTACTTTGAGCCCTGAAGTGGTCAAAACTATATCAAACAGATTGTGAGTCTATATATTCAGCCATAAGTTATACTATTATTCTAAGTGTGTCTGGGTGCATGTGTGTGCATATTAAGTAAACAAGTATGCATTTATTCTATATGCAAACAAAAAACAGACTGTGGTCCACAAAAGCATACACAATGAAAAATTCATTAATCTTCACAGTGCTAAAAAACCTCTGCAGTTTAAGCATACAGAGGATATACAGAACTTAATAAAGTTGTTAAAAAACCCCAAAAGGGGGGAAGTGAAAAGTATTATTAAACAGTGTAATCACCAACAATTTCTGATTCACTTGATCATTTGGTCACCTGGGGGTGGGCTAAGTAGGGACATTTTCAACATGCAGAAGCCTGTCTGAAGCCTGAGGACTGAAAAAATAGCATGATACAAAATTGTGGGGGGGGGGATCTCCACATGATCCTTTTTTTCCAAGTCTTCAGATATTTCTCATCTACCTCTGGGCTGAAATGTTAGCTCCCTATGGAGTATTTAGCATTGGAGATGAAGGAACACATTTATCTTAGAAGCTAAGTATGAGATTTATAAGTTATTAGGTCCTGCAGACCTTCCTTGAATATCATTGACTATGAGTTACTGAAGTTTCATTCTGTAGACAGGGAGAAATTTTATTATTTCACTCTGCAGTGTCATCCCTATCATGGCCATAACCTTTGGCATGTCTAGCTAATACCACTGGCAATTTGTTTATTTTTCTACACCCTTTACCACTTT